AAAAAAAAAAAGTATTTTTTTCTTGTTGATTAATGCCAACAACTAAAAAATTCTTAATGAACTGACCACTTACTATAATCTTAATTGATAAAAAAGAAAAGAAAAAGAAAAAAGAAAAAAGAAAAGTTAAAAATGCATAAATCTCCAAATAAACGAATAGTTTTTCCTAAACCTAAAATAAGCAGTCATACTTGATAAAAATACAACCAAAGTGAGAACCATTGAAAAAAAGTTGGCCAGCGCACAGTACTGCACGCGCGTTGGTTGCAATTTGGGTAGCAGTCCTAATACTACCAAAAGTAGGACTATCTAGCCCACCCCTAATTGTCAAGGCCAACGAAGAAAGAAGATGCCAGTACAGTAAAAACACGATACACATGCGTGATATGATTTTCAAAAGCTGATACACATGCGTAATATGATTTTCAAAAGCTGATACACATGCGTAATATTGATTTTCAAAAGCTGACTTATTTTTTTTTATTGGGATCAAATCTTATAGATGGACTAGTTACATATTACTATCCCTATCAATAAAGAAGCCCTCAAAAGGCCAAAATAAAAATAAAAATAAAAATAAATAATAAATAACTTTTTAATCTCAATATAGATGTTATGTCTTTAGCAGAATAGAAGAAATGTTTGGATCTATACCTTCAATCAGTGTTATGTAGGGCCAGGGCCCATGGTTGCGGGATCAGTATTAAAACTTTTCATAAGGTGGGGTGAAATAACTATGTCGAACGAGTAGACATTGCATGACCGCATGATGCAGTAGATTAGCACGTTTGACTTCGGATCAGAGGTCGTGGGTTCGACTCCCACTGTAGTTGGGATCCTACGTTTTACCTTCGAACAGATTGAACCTAATTGCCTCAAGCCTGGCCCAGAATATATTAAAAGCTTGATTGTTAGCCTTGATCTCTCTTTTATTCATTTCACTATGGGCTATAAGCCTATAACTTTATCGGACAGGAAAGCCCAAAATATGGCCTATATATCTTTCAGTAATCTTGCCACGGAGGCTACGACTGCATGAGGCTAGGCTTATTGGACCTAAAAGGCATTAACTAATAACCAGACGAATGATGACATACCTACACCAGCTTTTAGGACTAAATTTTTAATATTAATTTATGAAAATTTTATTTTATAATTTAAATTATATTAAATTATACAATAAAAACTATTAATAGGGAGAGAATTCTAATATTATGGAACTTAATCTCTATTTAATAATTAATACAATTTAAATTATACTATTTTTTCTTTTATTTATCATGATGGGAGTTCTATAATGAAATAATTTTTCTTTAAATTTTGTCTAAAAATTTGGTCAAAGAATTATTATTCTAACTTGACACTTCCTATTCCCCCGTCTATACATTCAACACTTTTTCTGAGTTTTTCATTTGTCTAAATTTTGTACGACCAGAAAATAAAAGGGGGGAGTGGATTTTAGATTTTGAGAAATTTTCATGGAAATATAAAGTAATCAATTACAGGTCCAATAGCTTATGGGAATAGGAAGGATTAAGAATTGAGAGTTGTAAAAATGAAAACAGCTAATGTGAAAGAAATATCCTTGTGTTGGGACATTAATGAATTTAACACAGAGGCATTCATCCTAATTAATCTAAACTTTAGACATTAATGGCATACTTCTTCTTTGGAAAGTACATCTCCCTCTTCTCGCGTTCTGTCTTCAAAGACGCTTGCATAAAACAGCATGAAGATTATCTAGTTTAACAATAATGCAACAAGTAAGAAAATGCAAGAATAAAGATCACATTGGGAAATGCTAAAATAGTAATAATGTATGAAATTTATATGCTGCTATCCAAATATAAGCGAAGAGGAAACATGGGGTAGTTTGAATTAAGCTCAAGATTAATTAAGTGGTGAGAGACTAAGGGAGGACTCGGGGTGAAATCATGAAAAAAGATAAATAGGTAGAGCGGCTAGCACTTAATAAAATACAACCGAAAGTTCATATTCAACTTAAATTGTGAGAAAGATTCATGCAGAACCATTTTAAGAAGATCACGTTATTTAAATTAATTTACAAGACTAAAATTTGATATTAAAATTTAACTAATATCACGTTATTTAAAATTTTAAAAAATAGATCTTACATTATTTAATGATTAATTCTTTTTTTAGCACATGCGATATTGTAGAAATAATTATCGCTCTATAATTTCAAATTTTTCTTGAATTAATTATTATTTTTTATTTTTTTAA